ACGAGCAATATATTATTCTACTTGCCCCTTGTAGCAATAGGGTGTAATTAGTAATGTACAGTATCATATGTACTGGAATTATAACCAAAATAATTCAAGAAATTCTTCGAATTGGAATATTCATTGACGAATTCATATTTATGTGTCCTCCATAGCATACATTCCTTCAATCATTTTTTATATCTCATTTGTAATTACTCATCCATAAAAATAATAAATTTTTCTCTTCGTAACAATGCATATGCAATTAACAAAGGAATAACAACAACGCAATAATAAAACATTACTGATAATTTACTTCGCTTATTAAACGAAATAAAATACCTTAATTATCTATGTGCCTGCGAATGCAAACGGCTTTCGTTATATAATTATCGCATCGGTATCTTTCGATGAAATATTCCAAAAAAAATATGAAAATTTAAAGCTGGCAGATTATTAGATGTAAACATGAAATACGTGAATACTTTTCGTATAGGAATTTCTTGTGTTATTTTTTTCTTTTGTTATTTGTTTCCCTTTATAAATATTGAAAAAGGGTAGACACCAGTCCATGGTATATAGAGTCTTTTCAATGGCAATAGAATCTTTGAAAGTTATGATATGACTAAATGTAATTTATAAATAACAAAATATACCATTTCCACCGTAACAGGATGCCTAAGCCTTTATCATATATGGAAAATCCATGATGGTCAACATTAATTTATCACTAATTATCTCCATACATATATACATACACACCTTTTTTTGCATATACACACTTAGTTTCTTTTATGTAATATTAATAGCGAATGTGAAAGTTAATCAGTCAGTAATACTAATTTCAGCCTCTTTTCTGAGAGCAGGACCAGTTGAAACCGTGTACTTATATGCCGTATTGGATTTCACTTTTATTAATTAGTCGTATCCTACTTGTTCATTTTCCTCGAAGTAAATATAGAAAATTATATTAAATAATTGCTTTTAAATCAGTTCACGTTTGTACCTATATGTGAAATTGTAGATTTAAAACGGAAGACCATCTCAGGCGACTTTATAAGTTCTACGATCTGACAGTTTTGCAGACTTCAAAGTAGTTTTCCATCATTTTTCACTTACAAAAAATGACAAATAATTACAAATTTTTCTTTGTGCAAATAAAAGTCTTTCAATATTGAAAATTAACATTCATGAGATATGTTTACCATTGTTAAATACTTAAGTATAGAATTTCTAAATAATAAGTGAATTATTAAAAGAATTTCTAAGTTTGTATAAACAATTCTCCAACAACGAATTTGTTATAAAATTAAAATACTTTATTAAGCGTAACATAAAGGAACAATATGCTCTAACAAAATTAAAACAGAATTACATATCGTCCACGTTTTCTGGAATGATTGTACTTATAATACATATCTCATTGATTGTTAATTTGCGTCATATTCTTGATGGTATCCTAAGCTGCATCTTTGTCTCACTATGTTATTTACACACTGACAATATCTGAACAGAATTAGCTGCATCGCTGTGTACGGTGTTCTTGATAATTGAATTTTAGAAAATAGAATTTTCCAACATTCAAAATTTATGTTTTACCTAATAAGTTTTGCTAAACTCACGTCACAATTTATATTAAACCACTGTTGTGAATTAGTAACATTTTTAAATTATTTTGCAGCTAGTTATCAGGATACATATTAGCCATAGCTAGGAACTTGAAGAAGCATTACTTCCACCTCTTTAAATATACAAATGCCAAATTACTTTTGATATCCGTTCAACGTGGAGTATAGGTGAATTTTAAACAATACACCTATTCCACTTTGTGTCCATCAATGAAACGCATATCAGCACTTTCTTTCTCCGGATCACATATTAAGATTAGAACTTTCATTTTATTTACAAAGAAATGCTAAATATAAGATACTCTGCAGCAGAGGTAGAAAAATTAAATGAAATTAAAAAATGAGGAATGGTCTTACTGATAATTACGATATTTTCTGTTCTTGTCTTCATTCTGTTTTGAAACTTTTAGTTTCAAACGAAATATCAGAGAAATGTGTTGTTAATCTTAATATAAAAACATATTCGAATTGCCAACTGTGCAACACTAGTTTTATACATCTCAGTTTTATTTACAAGCAGACTTTCGTCTCATAGATACACTTTGGAGAAAGAAGTAGCTCACGGTATGTCACAGATTCCTTGCGTATAAAAGGTATCCTTCAGTTTCGTGCACATTTTTTCTGGCACATAACGTCAATGTAGATTCATCTGTGTTTTGTTTCTTCAGAACAGGTAATTCTGTTTCGTTACACATGAGTCAAAGTAATCGGCTTTTTTAAAATGCCGAATGATAATAGTCATAAGTAGGCCAGTAAGGCTGTAGCCAGTCCTAGCTGGTGCGTTGCCGTTTTTTGGCTGGGTGTTCCTCAGAAGAATGAGCTGGTGCCGGCATCACTATTTCTCCTCTGTTGAACATATATTTTAATTGGGGCATGTACTTCATTATACTTTTTACTTGTATTAAAGGTAATTCTTCATTTAGAGATGAACATTTCCCCGCTTCTATTAACATTTTCATTTGTAACCTATGATCAAAATAATTGAAATTAATAGTTATTCATTTCATTTTATACTGCATACATAGTAGTAGAATTCTCTTACCTATTTCCTTGATATAAGTCTATATGCAACACGTCTGTAAGAACTTGTCGACAACTATTGATGTCACAGGCAGGAAAATACTGAGCGACGAAATCAGGAAGTGTCATCAACAATTCAGAGTAGATGTATGGCTTGAAATTAATACAAGGTACCATTTTGTCTTCGACAAGCGCTTTTTGAATTTGATAAGGTTGAACTTGACAGGCAGATATATGTGTTTCTGGAATTGGTATCAGAGGTTTTCTACCCCTAGAATCTCTATAAATATAAATATATATATATATAATATATATATATATATATATATATATATATATATTTAAAATTACATATTTGCAAATGTAAATTGTATGTTTGTTAATAGATATTACATAATTACATACCTGGCACTATTATTGCTACCATTAACTGGTATTAATGGTGGTGGATATTTTGCATGAGATGTGTTATGTACAGATGGTGTATGCCTTTGTAGGTGCAACAATGTGGATGCTGAAGTAGGGGATGGCATTAGAGCTTGCACTTGCTCACTTAGACCAAGCATTTGGGGGTATGTAGTTGCAGTGACAGGTACACCTAAGGTAGGTGTGGTATACGTGGACGTGACCCTAAAATAGAAAAATTTTTCATTAAGCCTGTAGAAACATAAAAAGGCATAATTCTAAATGAGCTAATTTGTCATACTTGGGAAATATGAAATATTTATTAATATTTACTATTGTATACGTTTCATATGTGAACTAGACATTTTCAAAAACAATATATAAAAATAAACCAAAGTATCTCACACAAATATATACATTAACCATTAAATTTTGAGAACATTAAAGATTTCCTATGGAATATATACGTTGACATAATACATGTAGTAATATTAATAAAAAATGGAATATAATGCCATTTTCTGTAACTTGGACATATGTTGAACAAACACTTTATTTTCTAATAAAATAATTATTTTAACAATGAAATTAAAATAATAAATAAAAAGTCTAATCCAGCATATTACATGTATTAAATTTTGATATAATAATAACGAACAATATTTATTTACATTTCCCATGTACATCAATATCTAATTTAGTGAAATATGCGAGACAAAGAAGTTGACTACATTCTGAATTATAAATAAATAAATAAAAAAAATAGGCTACATTCCCAAAGGGAATATACATATTTAGTGAATTAAAGGAATAAAAACATTAACAAAGAGTGAATACATAAGTAAAGTTTAACAAGGCAATACAGGCAATATATAGTTATTGCATTTTGCAGAAATAAAAGTTTGTTAATCATAGTATTTTTGTGCATGCTATCTTACTTTCATGTAGTAATCATGACTATAGTACATTTTACAGGGACTCACCAGTCATCCTTCCCATAGGTTGGATAACTATACAAAAAAATCATATGTTGTATGTACAAATGCAAAAAGCTATAGTGCAGGTTCACCACATAATAAATAATAAAGTTTTATAAATACAAACTGTGTACGTTTAAATAAAAGAAATAGATCCCTAAAATTTGATACTGCATGCTCATTTTACTCTAATAAATACAGTATTAAAACAGTGTGTATTTTAAATAAAATTATTTAAACCTTTTACACATAAGACAATAACAAAGTTTAATGTTAAATAACGTACCTACTTATTTAATGAACATTTATATCTAATCAATGATATATTATACATCATGTAAAATATGTGGAACAATATTTTTGAAAAAATTAATAGTAATTAGATGTGAATAATATCAAGTATGAATGGATTTAAACAATGTGTCTCACTGCGTGCTTTTTAACATTGAACTCACACCTAGAATACAATATACTGTATTCAATCGCTAAATTAAAAGCAAGCACAAAGTATCGATAATGCTATGTAAGACGATAGGAGATGCTAAATGTGGAACAACGATATTGTCCTGAATATTTTAAAGCTTTATTTTTAAAAAACATATTAAGAAATTAATTTTTGAGAATACAATTTATCACTTACCCAAGATTAGGTTGACTCGAATGAACTGTAGCTTTTACAAGAGGGGGTGGTTGGGCTTGGGCAACAGTCTGCATAGTTGTAACTGGATATACTCCAGGATACTGAGATGCTGCACTGCCACCACCCCCCCTACTCCTACTCGATTGTTGTGAATAATTTTTTGGTTGCGCAGATATTTGCTGCAATGTATAAGATTCATATTTATATGTATTAAAAGAATATATACGTAATAAAAACATATTTAATATAAAATAGATTTGTTTAATCTATTAATAATAAATTAGATTCTAATTAATATATAATCTAATGATTAATATAAAGTAATACAAATCTATTAATAACAAAATAAATTAGATAATTATGTAAAACAGATTTGTATGTTATGCATTTAAGACTTTATACTAAAAATTCCATTTGACAGTTTATATGAAATAAATTACAAGGATAATATACTAATAAAATTACCACAAGAAGTAATTTTGTAATAAGTATCTTTCTATAATGAAAATAGTATTAGCTATTTTATTAATCCTGTTGCAGTGTTTACTTTGCTTTTCCTTAAGCTATTGATATTTTTAGTTTTTTGACTACTACGATCCTCCAGTGTTTTTCGACGTAAAAAAATTTTTATTTTTCAAAAAAACCTTTGTGTACTTGAGAAAATGAAAAAATTGTTTTTTCTTTCCCATTCACGTTTCAAACGCACAATTAAGCCGAAGATCTTAGCAGGATTAAACATTCTTACTGATTTCGTTGTAGTAAACAATCTGTTGTTTACGTTGTCAAGAAGTAAAAACGACAGAAACCTTAAATGTAACTTACATTGTGCATGTTTAAGGACGACGGCATCCGTATAATGGAATTTGCCTGAGAAACGAGTGCCGTCTGGAAAGTAGGTTGACCGCCAACAAGCCCTGTCCATCCGTTAACATTTTGCACTGTATTCAACATTGGTTGCGTTACAATATTCGATCTTCCGGTAGGAAGCGCCGTCGGCGAAGAATGCGCAGGATGCGTAGTCGCAACGGGCCTCGGTTGAGTGACACCACGTTGTACTTGAGATGCATTAGCAACTGTTCCACGCGGTAACATGTTATGCATAGGTGCAGCACGTGCGTTAATTGTCGCTTTATTCACGTTATTTTGCACAGAAACGGGTTTCGTCGCCGGCGGTGTCGGAGGTTGTTTCGTCCAGCCACCACCGCCACCACCACCTTTGCTATTCACTAACAACTGAGAGTCCATTACTTTGGTCGGCCAATAGTCCTCGAATCCCGTACCGGGGGGGAAGTAACTTTTAATGTCATTTAAACTAATCACCGAGCATGTCTCACTCGCAAACAGTTCATTACGTATACCCTGTACTTTGCAACAAAACTTCAAATACGACAAGTCCCAGCCTTCGAGTTTCTCTGCCTTCAGTTTCAGATTCTCAGTCTCGCCCTCGAAATAAAACAGGGGAACATACTGAAGGCCGTCTTTCACGGTGTAAGGAACCACGGATTCCTTGTTTATTCGAATAAAACCACATTTATCGGCTTTCTGGCCGCTGGTTACGTTAGGATTCGTACCTGCTGTTAGTTTCGTGTAACACACATCGAGAAACGTATAGAACTCCTTCGCGTCCGAAAGACGCACCACCAAGTCTTTACACGTGAATTGTTCTCTACCGAACTGATTCTCGCAGTGTTTCACGTTGATCTCGGTAAACAGTTTACTTTCAGCCTCCGTGATGTAGTAACTCCTTATGCACGTGCAACTGTAGATGTCCGAGTGCAGGTAGCTCAGGTACTTGTTCAGCAACTTAGATTCTAAGATTCGTACTGCGCAATACTTCTCGCCGGAACGAAATATGTACGGTATGTGACAATCGTCGAAACTCGTCCATCCGAATCTGCCTCTTTGACTCTCGTCGTCGGGTGGTAGTTTTCCTTCTGTCGGAGGGGGTTTCGCCGCGACGCCAGTCGATGAGTCGGCTGGCCTTTTATTTAAATATCCTAAGATGCTAGGAATATTCGTTAGGAGACACTGCGGAGGCCGTTGCTGCGGTGCACCTGGCACCACGTTCACCATTTTCGCCTTGTTTGCTTCCACCATTTTGGCAGCCAATTCTCGGATTTCCGCTTCATCGGGAAGTTCTTGTTTGACGACAACTTTATCAAAAGCTGAAACAAACAGGTGAAAACACAACAATTAATTTGATTGCTTCGTATATCGCTGTCTTGTTACACATAACGCATTAGAATAAAACAATGATTAATCGTGAACTGTTACGAAGAACTTCAATATTATATCAAAGTGCATTCAATTTTATAAACTTAAAGAATTATACAAAATGGTAAACACGTTACTATTATTATATTAGGGTAATATAATTAGGTCTAGATAATGCGAGGATTAAATACCTTCAACGTTGTCATTTATCTTTGATGATTTTTCTAAAAACCCTCATATTTAATCTAAAATAAGAATAAAAGGGAATAAAAGTATATACTAAATAGGGATGCAAATTAAAACTATCTGTACTCTTTTAAGAAGAATCACCGTCTATTAATAATGAATCCAAGCATAATCAATTGTGGTATTATTTAAAATTTTTATAAAACATAAAAATAATTATTTACTTTTGTGTTTTGAAAAAATCGGCAATCCAATATCTAATCAAATAAGAGTAAATAACTAATAAAAATGTGCAGTAATAAAAATATTAAATAAAATATTATCGTAATAATATTCATAACGGGATTAATAAATAATTATTATTTATATAATTTTTTACAGAAGAAAAGGATCGAATCAAAAGTATTCTTTGGTAACAAATTACTTTAAATTGTTATTTACGATACTTATAGTTGGTCGATGGAGAAGAGCGCGGGAAAACTGGTATTCGCGTGTCAATGCATGATTACGACGTATAATCAGTAATGAACTCGGTTAATTAACTCTTATCATCATGCCGTACACATCGTATAAGAGTGATAATCTTGGAGTATCTTAAACACCATTTAACGCGATTTAGATCTGGAAAATGTTTATAAACTAACTTTCCCATTTCGAAAAATTTCAACGCTTTACAATACACGTGTACGAAACAATGCGCATGTCCGAGATGCCGATTACACGAAAATAATTCGTACGACAGAATGATTAATATGGTAGCACCATCACTATTTAATATACAATTATAACATTTTAACTGGAATTTTTAAATGAGAAATCCATGGTAGGATCAACTATCCTGCACGCGCAATCAAGACACTTTCATATGAAGTATAATTACGCAAAAGAAACACAGAAATTGAACTTTGCAACGCCTTAAAAAAATCGATACATTTCGTTTGAATGATGCATGACAATCATCGCTTTAATCTCCCACGTACATCAGTTTTAAAATTTTCTTCTTTCAAAAAAGAACGAAATCGAATCTCATAACGCAACGAACAACTGTCACAGAACACAAAAAAAAATCCAAATTTGAACTCGATATAAGACGCACTCGCAGTTTAATATGAAACACTCACATAACTCGGAAACGTGCACGTCATGCGTGTTAATTATCATTCCATAATCAGCTTTCGTGGTCACGTTTAAACGAACAATTTTGATATGACAACTTTCGATTGTCACCGTAAAACACAACGCGTTACGTTTCACCGTGCGTTCCGTTTCTATCGACGTACCAAACGAATTGAACAAAAAGAAAGCAAATCCTCGCGCTCTTTTCTACCAGCATCGATTACCAACGGAAAGAAGGGGGCTAACGAAAAATGGGCGAGACTATGTATTACGAAGAAAAGATCAACAGACTCGGTAGACTAATTTTGCAAAGCACATCATCTTTCTTAAATAGGGAAAGATGTATTTAGGACGTACTGAATGACACTTGATCGGGCGCCGTCTGTGACGGACTCCTTTTCTCGAGCCATATGGCGTCCGTGCTGCTATCAGCGGTCGCTGTATGCATGTCCGTAATGTCGTTCCTCATCTTCAATGATGTTTGCGTGTTGTTCTTATGTTTAAACTGAAATCACATTTCGGTGGATGCAAAGGTGGACCCGAACCAGCAAAGAGGTTATATGCGAGTGCGTCCGTCTACCGATGTGCACTGTCGATGAGACGACACACGACCATGTTACACGACGAGGAGAAGAACCAGGCTCAGATGGAGGAAAAGTTCGTCCTGTTTCGACTCTCTCGGCTTCTAGTTTTCACGCTTTCCCTCGACGTTTCACTTCGTCCGTTGACTACAATTATAGCAGGTGGCGTGAAATAATTCACCACACTCGACTCTCGGGGGATACATTTAGGGTAGACGAACGTACGTAGACGGTACCCGTTGACACTGACTACGTACATGTTCTTTGAACGGGCGTATCTCTGGACCCCGGCGAAGCTTTGCCGTGGATTAAGGAACTCTCGGTTGAGGGTAGCGCCATTTTATACGAACTTGGCGTTTGTAAATCTTCGATTCCAAGCCGCCCAGTAGGCCATGCCGTAGCATCGAGCTATCTGGCTGCAGCTGCACGGGACACTAGGCATTCCGCGGTCTGTCCGACCGCGAATCCTACGGACTAGAGCGAGACGCGCTTAGTTTTCCGTTCGGACTGTACACTGCTAGGTATGTACCAGTATCGTCCTCTACACACATATGACCACTTCGCTTTAACTTTCCATTTTTAAGAATCCATCTGACGTTTATATTACATACATTCAATACTTTCGAGCAATCATCCCTTTGAAGGTACGAATTTTACTTTATAACGAGTCTTCAAATTTTCTTCGAGTTGACTTCTATGTAAGCTTCAACGATAAGTAATATCGAGTTGTTCAGTCTTCACAGTTTCACAGTGTATCACGTAGGTATATTAAGAATTTTTCTCCATTCAGAAACGTTGATTCCTTAAGCCTTACCACTTCGATCGCGATGAGTAATTCAAATTCAAGATCAGCATTCTAAAAATAAAATTACTGATCTGATATTTCAATGATAGTTAATTCTTTGAGGCTTCCTTTTTTCCATTTAATCATCAAAGCGTCAGATAAATATTATCTAAGATCTTCATTGTTCGGGATAAAAAAGGAATCCAGAAGTTACCTGATAGCTGTCGCCATCTGTCTGCTGCATCTAATATTATTAATTACAGAGTATCTAGTTTCTTGGTATAAAGGGAATATAATATACGGATTACTAATTTGCATTAATTGAATGCAGGTAAAACTGTTTTGTTAAAGTTTGAAATCAAATAATAATACGTATTTCAATGACAATAACAGTAAAACTGATAAAAAGTTAATAATGCAGCATGAAAAATTGTCCATTGACATTTTCAAATGAAAAAAGGGCGTAATAGAATGAAAGGAATCTGTTGATCCTAATAACTATATAATCGCGAACTTTGGTGTTCGATACACAGGGTATATAAGAGCGTTGCGTGGCGGCAGTTCTTTAGTCGAACCCGAACAGTGACAAGGGAAGGGTGTATCCAGCTTTGTAGTATAAATTTAATAAAATCTTCAAATTATTTAAATAGTTTTTATGTTGTGTTTACACGTGTATGTGTATAATATTTAATATCACTATACGTCAACTTCATCGATTTACAATAACCGAACACACAAGTGCCGAAAAAAATAAATAAAAAATTAAAAAATCTTTATGTCCATAGTTAACACGCATGTCTGTTCTGTGCCATGTGGTTGACAATCGACTCCCCAATAATACAACTTTTTATTTCGATATTATATCCACTTGAAACATACTTTGGTTAGATTAATACGTTAATAACGTCTACACACTGTTTTCTACATTGTACAAGTTCAAAAAATTATGCGACAAATCATGTTTCCGCATTGTAACGATTGCAAACTGACTGTACGCACATTGCCGACAACGAATAAGAACTGTGGAGAAGAGCGAAGCAGAAACGGGTAGCAAACCTTATAGTACATAACTCGTATGTATTGTATTTACTTAAAGCACCGCGTTTTCGAAACGTGGCGAGACTACGAATAGCATTCCTACGTGGCCATATACTTAAAACACAGTTATTTACTAAGAGTGTCACCTACATTGAACATTATGTAGAACAATTACGTCAGAATACAACTATCAAGTTTGACGTTTATATTATATAGAAATATATAACTATTTGTCAATTAGAAATCGTCAACAAACTTATGTAATAAGTTTAACGTATAAAAAGAAGGTCTATTCCCATTATTGTTTTCCAGGAAACAACTATTATCAATTATTGAAAGATTAGTTAATGGATTACCTACAGGACTTATTTTTTAGAAACATAACTCTGTTTTATGGCATCGGTTTCCACCTTCACTGATCATAACTTTCAATTAATTAGGCCTTGATTATTAATTCCATAGAATCTACTTTTACTCATACATATACCATCCTTTGCACCAGACACACCACTAAATCATATAAATAGGTGAACCATATATCTTGATCGGATTTCGCATCGTGTGTCATGGATCGGCTGCAGCAGCTAAGTACATACCGTTCAAAGAGTGGCCAGGGCCAGCGCGTAAGATCGCGCAGACGATGTGACAACGTCGCACGGTCGATATGCTCTTTCAGGCAAAGTGCCAAGATTGGTAAACGCACGCGGGAGTATATAGTCGTGGTTTCAGGTGCCCTTCTCTCCTCTAACACCCGCGTTTTACCCCCCACTGCCACTCCTGGAACTTACCCGTGGGATTCTGCGTGATAGTGGGGGTGGAATAACAAAGGTGGGGGAACTGAAGCTGCGCAGAACCCAGCCAGACGAACATTGCTATTTGTGCCTCTGCGCAGCTCTTACATACATATACCCGCCGGCCTCCTATGTACTACATATGTATTATACTTATTATTTTAATCATGATTTACGGTCGCGGCGTTGCCGATTCTCACCACAGGCACGCCCACTTCGTCTCTTTTTTCTCTTTTTTCAGTAATACATACGAATGTATAGAAGATGTGTGCGGAGAAAAGCAACGTTGCATGATCGATACCTAAAAGAAACACGCAATAAAAAAATACATATCAAATGGACTTATCATTATCGCATTAATGCGATGCGTGCGCATTTTTGGAATATAAATAAATTAGTTTTATGGTATTTTAAAAATAAAATGTATTAAGAGAACAAATTCCTTTCAAAAGGAATCATTTGGATTACAAAATACATTAAAAATAATAATTGTATAAAGAAACTAAAAAATAATAATTTTAATAAATCCATAATGAAGGTATAAAGCATTATAACGATGCGACGTTGCCATCTTAAAATGGAGGACGCGGCCTTGATTGGCCGGATTTCTTCTACGCCATACGTTGGGCCAGTCGTTTTGGCAACACTGGAAGGTTGTAGCGATCTATTTATAGGAGTCCTCTATTGCTGCTGTTGCTATGCCGGGTGAAGGCACAGTAAATACGCGGGGAGGGGAAACGGTTAGGAATGGAGGGGGAAGAGATTACTAAAGAACAATATGGCGGTGAACCGGATGTGCCCTCTTCCAATCTATCCATTCTCTTTGCCATAACTGCATTGCCTTTCTCTATCTTCCTAATGTTTTCTGTTCATTTTTCTAAATTTCTTTTTTTTTTTAATTTCACCATTTCTTGCTACGTTTTATCCAATTATGAAATCACTAATACAAACGTTACGTAATGCGGTGAAATATTGTGCACCTAGGCATGTATAAATGAAACATGCTACCTTCCATCATGATAAGGCGAACGTCGCGAAGGTTATCGCCTTGCTGGTTTCACAATGGGGAGGAAAAAAAATTATAGGAAAAAGAAGAGACACACGTTCGATTGTTATGATGGAAAAGGGCTGTCCAAGTATGCTCTATCATTTTTGTAGACGTAATTTTTTGTGCAACTCCGTAGAATTGCACATGGCGGCGTACACTTGCAGCAGCTGACAAGCTTCATTGTGTGTGTCTCCATGCGTACACACAAGCACGCATGCGACTTGCTTATACGAAGCCGTCGCCTCGGGAGTGCTCGGCAAACTTCGTGAAACTGCCTCTTTGTTACATCATTCTTCGGTTCTTATGTAGTACATAGGGAGCGGGTACATTATGTACTACGCCTGCACATATTTCCCCCCCAGCTCTCGCTCTTGTATATACAGTACATATAGTTGCCTTTGCATATATATGTGATGGCGGAGCAAACGGACGAGCGGGCGGGCGGTCGGAGAAGCGAACTGTGATCCGTGCTACACGAGGCATAGAGATCTGAACAACTAGAACGGACCCAAGAACATAAAATATCTTTTCCTATTGTCAACTATATAATTACAATAAAACTGTGTCGCTTCTATTGACAAGTGAAGTAATATAGGACTATTATTCCAAAGTGCCCAACCGTCTTATAACTACATCAGTGTCAGAACTTTCTGTTACAATAGAAAGTCTTTACCCCAAAAAATGTAATGGAAACTACATTTGCATAAACACATCATAAAAATATTAAAAAATATTGGGGAAAATGTTGATGACTTTACATAGATCTATGTATTGTTAAATTTAAATATGTAGGAACGTTGTGTTCTACTGGAGTTGCATATTTTGAAATAGCAATTGTTATTATGATAGCTGATGTCAATAATTGTTTCGTATTAACAAATATTACACATGCGACGTCAAGATTTTTCTAATTACTTTGCATATGAAGTGGAAATAATACCATTTTGTTTGATCATAACAAGTCCAAAGACGGCTGCCATGTTATCCCTCGACAATACCAATACTCGATGTAAACTTTTGATGTTCTTCGACCTTTAAATGTATCAATCAGTTCTTCATCTACTAATAGTAAAATGATGCATTGATATTACTAGTCACACTTTGTTACGATGTTTATGTGTATACAACATGAGAGAAACTCTTCAACGAATTAAGTTCTAACCACACATGGAAAATAGTTGAAAGATAGGATGATATTGAATTGGTTGATAAACAACTCACGATCATGTTTAACAATCCGCAAATGTACTGCGTTCATGTAGACCATGTTTAAATACATGCTAGTACCAACGTCGAAAGTATTCGTAAGATACATTTTCTTGTTACACAATTACAGTAGCATGATATAGCAATATTGTTATCCTAATGACACGAACCACAAAACATTTTTAGTTATTATACAAAAAAAAAATTGACGAACCTAACCTTAATTTGTAGCACTCTAAAAGATAACCCGTGAATAATAACGTAGTGTTATTATAAATTAAGCATAAACACACATTTTTATGTGGGAAAACAATATTTTTCAGTGAATAAACAATACTATTTCAATAGGCCTATTATTGCCACAAAATGGTTGTTAGTAAAAAGTGGCACGTTTCAAGCCGGAATAATAAAAGTTACATAGTTCTCCAATTTAAGCATTCGTTACACAGCTTCTTTCTAAAAAGCATCTACGATATTACCAGATCATCTTACAGTTTGCTTTAAATAAACCGTGACGTCATCTTCTGTAAGCACACACGGATAAAACAAAATGAGAATTAACATCCTTTTATTAATTATGTTTCGTGGACGTATTGAAATTAAATATTTATACCGATTATTATTCGAAAATATGACCGTATGTAAATAAAGAATGGTTTCGAATAAAAACATACATTAAAATAATTAAACAATAACAACAAAGTTTGTAATAATCAAGGTAGACGATGTATCTGTCATTTATTAACAAACATTTAAACACAACAAGGGTAAAAATCACCAAAGTGTTGTATTTCTCGTTTAATTTTCGTATAGGTAAATGCAAAGTCATGTGACTTCACATCCACAATGAAATTATCAATTAACGTACAAACACTTTATCGTTAAGCTTTCTTCATCCATTTTTAATATTACCGTAAATCGTTTAAATAAATTTCATACATCGTTGAAAGCTGACAACTCGCCGCAAAATAATTTCACGTGCACAAACATTTGAAATGCGTTTATTCGTACACGAAACGTGTTCTGGCCACACGAGATACACGAAAAATACTGTGCGTAACTGTTAACCGTTTCATAAACAGCGGACGCGAACACGAGACACTGTACACGAGATGCAGTGTTTATAAACTGAAGGGTTGTTAACAAAAAAAAAGTCACTGGCACCCACAGAAACGTAATTACGAACATTCGAAAACTTGAAAATCGATGGAAGAGCACACATCAAAGCTTTTTCAGGTGAGTAGAAAACAATGTTTCAGGCCTCCACGTGTAAATGTTGCAACAATAAATGGTAAACGCGAGTGTGTCGCAGATGTTGACAGGTAGTTGCATCGTGGGGGACCCACGTTTCGCCGGGTCTGCACGAGGCGCAGCTCGTAGAAAACAGAAAGCGTGATGTGTACTTCGAGGCGCTGGGTACTGATACACAATACCGAGGCTGGCGTGATTGGACGTGGTAGAGGATCGAGCGAGAAACCAAACGAGAGAAGAAAAAGGACAGGAATAACCATCCACTGAGAGAGGAATACAGATGACAGCGGGATAGAAGGAGAGAGCGAACCAGGCATAGCACAAGGAGAGAGGGAGGGGAGAAACGATACGCGCGAGTCTGATGCCGCCGCGGTTGCCGCCACCCATAACCTCAAAGCTTACCTTTGTTGATTCGGGCCTCGACGATTTGTACGTCCTCGTCGACACTCCTGTCGTTCATCTTCTTCTTCTTCTCGTTAACCTGAATGTCCATACACATAATTCCACGGCACGAAACAACACTTCCGCCACACGGTCACGCCACCCCTACGTTCCCGTGACATTTACATTAAACTGAGTGCGCGCGCGCGAAATTTACATTTACTTACTGGGAGGGAAAAGCGAGAAGGGGTCGTCGCACGAGGGCGCCGCGAAATGCGCTCTTTTGGCACCGTGAATTCTGCTCTCGGTCGGTCCGTGTACTTGACAATGGAGTTACACAGGAGAAGCGTGCACGCATCCGCGGAACCGTCTGTTTTGTCGCGCGGAACGTTCGCCGTACACCCGTTCCAAATTTACACGCGATTCTATCGCAACCCGCGTTTTCTGCTGTTTTGTGCAGAGGTGAGCCGAGAGGCCGACCGGGTTCCGTCCAGATTTGAATGTGGTACACGTTGCCAGTTCTTTCTTGTACCCCCCACCGTCCCCCCTACCACTCGTCCTTATGTACTTAACGGTTGCGACGTTGCCGCACATCCGGTACCAACGTATCGGTGGTGGGGGAAGGAGATTTTGCAAAGGAGTGGGGGATATACA